CAAGCCGTGGCTAGCAGGCGAGCTTTGTGCATCTCAGTGCCCACTGACTGGCAGGCTTTAAGCACATCTGCAATGACTATATTTGGTGTTGTCATCAAAGCAAGCTGGCGGACAATCAGTTCTTGGGCTGCTACGTCCTGAACTTGCAGCTTAAGAGTGTTATCCAAGCGATCGACAAATTGTCCATAGGGCTTTGTAGGACCCTGTCTGATGCTGCCACCGCGCTCATTCTTGTCATCAGGAACAGAGGACAAAGCTTCTTGGGCGACAGCAGTAGTAGCTGTCCAATACATGGGATCAAGGGCCAACTGTTGGGCAATAGTAAGAAAATTGCCTTCGCCAGTTAAGCCATCAAGAACATCAGTTTGGTTCAGCATAACAGGGGCTGGGGGTGCAGGGCCATTGTCCTTGACAGAAGAATATAGTTCCTTTATGAATCTCAAATCAAACTGTTCGTGCCGGGCTGGGCCTCCCCCTGGCACGGCAGTAACACTCACAGGAAAAAGATTAGGAGTTGTAGAATCAAAAGCCAACAACGGAGCAGCGGCACGGAGAGATTCTTGGAGAGGAGTAGTAGAAGCGGTGCCAAATGCCTTGGGCGCAGGAGGTGGAAGAACGGGGGGTGCTGCAGAATTTGAAGAATGCAGGGAGTGACGGGAGAAGCCGGAGGGAGAATGTCCGGCGGTTTAGGAGGTAGGTTTGAGGCAGGCAAAGCGGGAGCTGGGAGGGCGGGCGAAGAAGCTGTTGCGGCAGCCAGAAGAATGTTTGAAGGAGTTAAGCACGACATAGCTTTGTAGACGTTACTCCAGGCGTGCAAAACCTTGACATCAATCTGAGGATGATTTTGAAAGAAGTGTCCAATTTTTTCCCAATCGTCTAACTCCCAATTTCCGTCCTGGGGGAACCAGGGGCAGTGAGTGTCCAGGGCTTTTATAAGGGACTTAAGGTCAGCTTTCCGAACAGCAAGGTTGTTACTGGCCAAAAGGAATTTAAGGTCTTTAAAAAATTTTTTCTGTGGTGCAGAGAGAGATTTTCCCATGATTGCAAGAGTTGCAAAAGAGCAGGGAGCACTTACCGGAGGGATCCGTAGGAGGATGAGAGAGAGGCGCCTTTTGCCCTGTCCGGGCGGAGATAAGTGCTGATAAGTCCGTAACGTAGTCCAGAATCACATTCACACGGGAGCTCTCACCGGGGATCCACTACGTGGATGAACGACGCGTCTGCAGCCCTTCCGGGCGAGGTGAGAGCTGAACGTTGTACACACGGGAGCACTCACCAGGGATCCACTACGTGGATGAACGACGTGTTGGTGAGTGCTGAATAATGAAAAACAGGCAGTCACACGGGAGCACTCACCAGGGATCCACTACGTGGATGAACGACGTGTTGGTGAGTGCTGAATAATGAAAAACAACGTGAAGTCCGAAGGCCTCACACGGGGCACCAATTGTCGAGTTGCAGCTCGGCATCCAGAGAAAAATCAGTCTCACACCAGGATAGGTTCCGAATTATGGCTGCTCCTAGGGCTAATGCAGCACAGCTTTTATTGTGTGAAATAGAAAGATACAAAAAATACAAGCCAAGCAATTTGTTCTAGCCAGCAGATAAAGACCTTGGTACTAGACCATGCGAGCGATCAGGCCATGCTACGTTGGCCAATCATATAGGACAGCACGAGCTGTTCACGCGCTGTTCATGCTCCAAGGATGCTTCTAGCTATGAAATCACCCTGTAACAATAAGAACTTTGCTCATGCTCTCATGTACAAGCAATCATTTTCCCACAGGAAAAGAATGTTCCTTCTTTACCTAGAGGGTTCTTTGTCCTCCAAATGTCAATCAAGTCCATATTGTCAGTCAGTTCAAAAAAGGTTTTAGGTAGTCTGCCATCTTTGGTTAGATTTTGGTTTTGCGACTTATCCATGTAGGTAGAAACCACCCCATTCATATCTCCCATCAAAAAGACGTTAGAGTAGTCCAGGTAATCCAACAGTGTCTCATGCAGCTTCTTGTAGAATTCTGATTTCCCTTCATTTGGAGCATAAATTCCTACTATTAAAAACTTTTCTCCTTGTGTTTGTATCTCAATTGCCAAAATTCTTCCATGCTCATCTTTAAATAACAATTTCGGTGACAGGTTCTCTTTTGCGTAGATCACAACGCCTCTTTTCTTAACTTTATCTGATGAAATAAATTCTTGACCTAATCTTTTGTTAATTAATACTTTTCTATGGAGCCTAGTCACATGAGTTTCCTGCAAACAGATAATGTCCAATTTTTCTTTTTTCAATATATGAAAGATCCTCCTTCTTTTTTCCGGGGAATTCCCGCCATTTATGTTCCAGCTTAGAAGTTGCAGAGACATCCTGGATCAATTTAAGGGTCCTCTTGGGGTGCGTCTTCTTCGTTCAGACCCGGTGGTAGATCAGGTGTTGGTTCAGATAGAGGTGCTGGTCCGGCTCCTGCTACTCCCTTCCGAAGGTCCTCTCCGTAGTCATTCAAGAATTTTAGTTGGTCTTCTGCTGATCTGATTTTTATTTTTTTCCCTTTGATAGTAAAAGATAATCCTTGAGGGAATTCCCACCTGTAAGGGATTGTATTGTTCCTCAGTAGTCCTGTTAAATCCTTATATGTAGCTCTTAAGTCCAATAATTGTTTCGGAATATCTCTGTAGATTTCTGCTTTTTTACCCTGGATCACCAATGCTTTTTTGAAATGTAGGCCGAGTATTTTGTCACTTTCTTGCCTAGATCTCAAAATGATCAGGCAATCTCTAGCTCTGTCCTTTCTCACCACTCTTCCCAGTCTAAAAGCGGTGACAATTTTAAATTCCTTATCTTCTTCTATGGCCCAGAACTTTGATAATTCTGAAGTCAGAAAGCCAATCAAATTGTCTTGTTCAAGTTCTGGAATTGAGCGTAACCGAAGATTATTTTCCCTATTTTTCAGTTCCACCATAGACAGATAGGCCTGCTGTTCAGTGAGTTGTCTGCAAAGTGGCCTTACTTCCCTTCTTACTTCCTCCACCTTCTTATTGGCCTCCTCTGCTTTCTGATTGGCTTGTTCAGCCAGTTTCCGACTTTCTTGAGTTGTTGTTTGGAGGTTCCCAATTGCTTGTGTGTTTTGGGAAACTTGGTCAGTCAGCTTGTTAATAGTAGTTGTAACTTGGTCAAACTTTGTGCTTAAAGCAGCAAGTTGGTCCAGAATTTTCTGTGAAACTGGGTCAATCCCTCCTGAAGCCATATCTTTTAAAGCTGGCTCTTGGGCTGGTTGAGCTGGTTGAGGGCCTTGTCCTTCTTTCAGTGTTAAAACCGTAGGGACAGATGATCTGCGTAGCTGTACAGATTGTACAGGCAATGTTGTTTGTAGCAGTAGCTGTTCTGCTTTTGTTTTAGCTGCCCTTTTCCTTGTGCCACTCATTCCACAGCTGTCTAGGCGTCAAGGTCAAATTGTAAGTCCCATGGGAAAAATAATCCAGGAAAAAGAAAACACACACCAAGAAGATAGACCAAATAAAAAGCAGTTCCCAGAGATTAGTTAACCCTGAATCCACTAGGGGGAGCTTCCCTGTAGCTCAATGGGAAAATAAAATTTTCCACCCTTAAGCAGAAGTCCAAAATGGAAAAATTTAAAGAGTTACCTTCAGTGTCCTTTATACTTGAAGAGCTTTTCCGAAATGCCAACAAAGTTTCAATAGTAGGTGCAAGAAACAGTTTCTTTCTTATTTGTATCCAATAATGCTTAACAGTGACAAGTCCACTTTTAGTTACAGTTTCTGCAGTTTGACAGTACCTATTGTCCTGGCAACCCCAGCATTTGGTTGCTTTGTAATCCACTTAGTCAAAAGGAGGAAAGGTTTCCGTTCAAATCAATCACTTCCCAGCCTCCTAATCTTTGTCCCCTTTCAGATAGGTAAATTCCAATTTGCACAGTCTTAGCAGCTTCCTTTTAACATCCTTTTCACAGCGCTCCCAGCTTGCAAAAGTTTTTGCTTTGATCTTAGCAAAGTCGGAAGGCGGACTTCCTGTTTTCACCTCCCGTTTTCAGCCGATTTTTCTTTTAAAATTTAGGCTCAAATAAACATTTGTAAATCCTTACTCACGAGTGTTAAGTTCTGTCGCCGAATGTTTCAGGAAGAAAGGACAGCGCTCATCAGCAGCAGCCGCGCGGCTTCGCATCCGCAGAAAGAGCGATGAACCCACAGCACCGCTTCCCCTTTCACGTTCCGGCACCTCTTACGAGGCTCCTTCCCCGCTTCTGGGGTCGCTCCTGGTGCCCGCCGGGTCCCATGGCCACGGGCTCACTCTACCCGTGGTTCTTCTTAATGGGTCGTCGCTGTGCCGCAGCGAACGTCCCTTTTCCGCGGAGCCCCTCTTCAGAGACCGAAGAGGACCGCCATTGCTGTTTCGCGCCGCCTCCGGAAGTCCAGTTCCAAACAATTGATTTATTTGACAAAGTTCAAACGTACATCTCCAGCGTTTCCATCAACCTCCTTCCCCTTGAGCACAGTTGCTCCCACTAAAGTTATTTCCTTCTTTTCTTTACCCAGCATGCAAACCTGCGAAGACTCCTCCCCTTACTTCCTCTGTGTACAGCATGACTTGTCCCAGGCTCACACTCCTCCTCCCCTCTTCTTCAGACTGACTCTCTGACGACTGGCTGCTGATAATCTCTCTAGGCTCCCTGTAACTGCTGATTTCTGTCCTTTCCTCTTTTCCCGTTTGCCTCTCCCTGACACATCTATGGCACTTATCTCTAAGTGCTGAACCTCTAGTTACAGGTAGGTAGCCGTGTTGGTCTGCCATAGGCGAAACAATATTAAAAAAATCCTTCCTGTAGCACCTTAGAGACCAGTTTGTTATTGGTATGAGCTTTCGTGTGCATGCACACTTCTTTAGATACACTGAAACAGGTTTCTGAAAGAGACTTCTGTTTCAGTGTGTCTGAAGAAGTGAGAGACGCAGGAGCTGATGGCTTCCCTTTGACTTTTGTCTCTCGCAGGTGACAGACGGATGCCCCCCAGACCTCCTCATCCATCTTTTCATGAGAACGGAGGAGAAGCAGCAGCTGTGGAAACAGATCTGGTATGGGGAAAGAGCTTTGTGGGGAAAGAGTCAGAGGAGTGGGGCAGCCAGGGAGCCTCTGGGCCGGAAAGAATTTCTCCTCCTCTTGGCTTCTGTCAAAGCCTCTGTCCTGAACAAAGATGGACAATGCCATTCAAGAAGGTTTATGTGCTGACAGGAATGAACAGTCATCTCTCCTTAACTGGGATTCGGAATGTCACTTTTATTATTATGATTTATCAGTAGCTGCAGTTATATTTCTATATTGATCTAATCCGGCTTCTAAGCAGTTGAGAAGCTTCCAAGAAGTTGAGAAGCCATAACAAACCGTGGCCGGGATTCACCTCAGCAGCCCCATCAGCTGAAGAAGGGGAATCCCCTCCTCCCCCTCTTTGTGCCCCCATGAGCCCCTTGAAGTTGGCTGTAGGGCAGAGGGAGGGTCCCATGGCCCCCAAGCATCGCACAGCGGGAGTAGAGAAGGGATCGTTCTGTCTGGCAGACAGGAATACTTCCACAGACAGAATAATTTGAAGAACAGCATGCAGAGTTCCACCCATTCACACAAAGATTAATACCCAGCATTAGAATGCACAGTAAAATAAATCCACTGAAATGCTAAAATAGGCATCCAGACCTAAAACGTGCAGCCAAATAATCCCATGAAAAGAACACAACAAGGAATGGGCAGAAAACAACCAAGCAATGTATAGTGGATAATCTTTATGCTGTCTCAGAAGAGGACCTTTTTCCTTTTCCTTCAGGGTCCTCTGTGCTTTGAAGATGTCGCTGTGTATTTCACAGAGGAGGAGTGGGCGTTTCTGGATCCTGACCAGAGAGCTCTGCATAAGGAAGTCATGGAGGAGAATCGTGCGACTGTGGACTCTCTCAGTAAGGCTTCCAGCTGGATCATAATATATATTTTGAAATACACACACCCACCCACCCATACCCACACACCCCTACCTCCACCTGTGAGAATCCTGCCATATTTTGATGGCGCTTGACAGCATCTGGGATTCTCCTTCCCCACAGCTCACCTTGAATCTACTGTTCTGTCTGCGAATATTCTTGCCCCACATATGCCTTTTTAAACCATGACCAGGCTGGTCTGAGCTGCCCAGACCTTCTTGAATGTAACTTTCTGTGTGGTGGCAGAAGAAGTAGCAGCTTCTGTGAGGTTTTCTGTTTCTGCTTCAATCACTTTCTGGTTGACCAAAGAGACAACTGGCCTTGCAGATGGAGGAGATTCCATGATTAGGCCAAACAAGATCCTTCCCGGAAGATCCCAGGCTGTTTGAATCTCAGGTTCCCATTAATCTGTGTGTCAATGAGAGTCAACAAAGGCAGTGAACCCTGTAGTAAGGCCTCAGATCTAACTCCCTTCCGTTCTTCATCTATCACAAATTTTAATTAGCAGTCTTCCATAATTTGGGGCTCCATTTCTTCCTGAGGCTCTAATGTGTTTCTCTCTTTGATGCAGGTGGTGATGGATTGGAAATTATGAACAAGGGGAACCGTGACAACATTCACACAGTGGGGAAGTTGTATAAATATTTGGAGTGTGGAGAGAGTTATAGTCTGAGCTCCCATTCTACTTCCCATAAAATATATCCTATTGGGAAAAATCGTTATCGGTACTTGAAAGATGGTAAGACGTTTCGTCAGAAGACATTTCTCACTTTCCCTAAAAGAACTCACAGCAGGGAGAAACCCCATCAGTGTTTGGAATGTGGGAAGAGGTTCAGTCACAGGGCTGTGCTCAAAGCCCATCAAAGAATTCATACAGGGGAGAAACCGTATAAGTGCTTGGAATGTGGAAAGAGCTTCAGGCAGAAAGCTAAGCTTACAGATCATCAAAGAATTCATACAGGAGAGAAACCATATCAGTGCTTGGAATGTGGGAAGAGCTTCAGGCGGAAAGCTAAGCTCACAGATCATCAAAGAATTCATACAGGAGAGAAACCATATCAGTGCTTGGAATGTGGGAAGAGCTTCAGGCAGAAAGCTAATCTCACAGCTCATCAAAGCATTCATATAGGGGAGAAACCATATCGGTGCTTGGAGTGTGGGAAGAGCTTCAGTCAAAAGAATAGTCTCACTTTCCATCAAAGAATTCATACAGGGGAGAAACCACATAAGTGCTTGGAATGTGGAAAGAGCTTCAGTCACAGGGCTGTGCTCAAGGCCCATCAAAGAATTCATACAGGAGAGAAACCCTATCAGTGCTTGGAATGTGGGAAGAGCTTCAGGCGGAAAGCTAAGCTCACAGATCATCAAAGAATTCATACAGGGGAGAAACCATACCAGTGCTTGGAATGTGGGAAGAGCTTTAGTCGCAAGGATAGACTCACTTCCCATCAAAGAATTCATATAGAGGAGAAACCATATCAGTGCTTAGAATGTGGGAAGAGCTTCAGTCGGAAGGACCATCTCATATCCGATCAAAGTATTCATACAGGGGAGAAACCATATCAGTGCTTGGAGTGTGGGAAGAGCTTCAGGCAGAAAGCTAAGCTCACAGCTCATCAAAGTATTCATACAGGGGAGAAACCATATCAGTGCTTGGAATGTGGGAAGAGCTTTAGTCGCAAGGATAAACTCACTTCCCATCAAAGAATTCATATAGAGGAGAAACCATATCAGTGTTTAGAATGTGGCAAGAGCTTCAATCGGAAGGACCGTCTCATATCCCATCAAAGAATTCATACAGGGGAGAGACCATATCAGTGCTTGGAGTGTGGGAAGAATTATAGTCGGAAGGATAACCTTACTTCACATGAGAGAATTCACCGAGTGGAGAAACCATATCAGTGCTTAGAATGTGGAAAGAACTTCAGTCAGAAGGGACAACTTACTTCCCATCAAACAAATCACCGTTAGGAGAGACCATATCAGTGCTTGGAATGTGGAAAGAGCTTCAAATGGAAGAAAAGTCTCACTTACCATCAAGGAACTCACAGCAGGAAGAATCATGTTATTTGAAGATGGGTCTCATATGTCCTCTCAATCTCCTCTTTTCCGGGCTAAGCCTTCCCAGCTCCTTCTATCGTTCCTTAAAAGGCTTGGTTTCCAAATGCTTGATTATATTGGTCACCATTCTCTGCACAGATTCCAACTTCTCAATATCCTCCTTTGATTGTGACATCCAGAATTGAGCACAGGACTCCAGGTGTGGTCTGACCAAGGCAGAAGGGAACATAGTATTACTTCCCATGACCTGGACATTAGACATCTGTTGAGATACCCTGAAATAGCATTAGCTTATTTTTCTACTGACTCACCTTGTTGACTCATGTTAAGCTTTTGGTGTCCTAAGACCCTTAGATCCTTTTACATGTGGTGTTTCCCATAGAATCATAGAATTGTAGAGGTCTAATGGTCTTAGTGGACCACAAGCTGAGCATGAGTCAACCGTCTGATGGCATCCAGCATGGAAGGAGTGCCTCCGTTTTTCAGCATTTTTAGTAGTCTATAGCAGTCTCTGCTCTTTTTGCCTTCCCTGGGAGGAAGGCTGAGTGGATGTCTGAAACTCAATGTCAAACTGAAACTCAATCCAGATAAGACTGAGGCAGTTAGTGGGTGGTGCCCTAGACCAGATGGGTGGGAGATGGCCTGCTCTTAAAAAAAATTAAATTGGTTTTACATAAAGTTATACACGATACCTGTAACCTTTCCAAAACATAAACAGTAACAAGGTTCTTTCAGACCTTCCACCCCATGGGTTCCAGTTCCAAAGATGTTACCTTTTCCCTTTTCCCTGCATCTTTTACCATTATCCATCTCTTATGTAACTATAGTAACCAAAGTTCAGTTCACATTACAAGTGTCATTGCATCCCTGCCCGTGATTTTAACTGTCTACAGTATCTGTCAAGTATACTGTCAAGTATACAATAAAATTATTCCAGTCTTTTAAAAATACTTGTTCTTCCTGGTTTCTGATCTTTCCCCTTAGTCTCGCCATTTCTGCGCATTCCATCAGTTTGGTCTGCCGCTCTTCCTTAGTCGGTACTTCACCTTCTTTCCATCTCTGGGCCAAAAACATTCCCGCTGATGTCATTGCATACGTAAACAGTCTCTTATTTTCTTTGGTAATTCATCACATATATTATATTATAAGAGAAAGCCTCTGGTTTTCTGACAAAGGGTGAGGGGAGAGACTCCATCAGGCAAGGCCTCCTTCCACCTGCCTTGCCCCACCCTCTGCTTCTCAATGTGTATTGTATGTACTGTGGCTTGTCGTTGTTTTATTGATTACACTGGTCAACAACAAATTTGTTGTCTGCGTTTTTTCAGCTGATTTAGGATGAATCTGATACACCGAATCCAAAAATCACATTGGTTTTGCTCAATCAGGTCAGGTTTTTGAGCTATGGCCACATGTCGTTTTTTTACGTTTTTGTTCACATGTACGCTTGTGTGGAGCATTTTAGAAGAAGTTGCTGGGGGTAAAATGCCATGTCGAATAATTGTTTTGATTGGAAATGATTATTTTAATGACAAGAAGTATTCAGGTCCAATAGTTCTGGGTGATTATGTCGAAAAGGGATCAGTTTGAAGTCATAAAGCCTCGAAATCTACCATAAATTGGTGCGGCAAAGCATAAAGTTGGGGGATCAAAACCCCTGGCTCACTCGAGTACATTGAAGGAGAACTATGAAGGGGTGAAGTATGTGCTGGAGAAAATTGGTTATGATCAGCATAGGTAGTTTATTTGTGTTGACCTGAAGATGGTGAACTGTTGGGACAACAGTCTGGCTTCACCAAGTTCCCATGTTTTCTGTGCATGTGGGATAGTAGGGACCGTGCTCAGCATTACACGAAGAAGGACTGGCCTGTGCGGGAGGAATTGGTGCCTTGCAGCAAAAGGAACGTCATCAACAACCCTCTGGTGGACAGAGACAGAATACTCTTCCCACCGCTGCACATCAAGCTCGGCTTAATCAAGCAGTTCACCAAGGCTCTGGACAAGGATGGTGACTGCTTCACTTACTTGTGCCAGGCTTTTCCAGGATTGACCATGGAGAACTTGAAAGCTGGCATCTTTGACGGTCCTCAGATCCGTCAGCTCATCAGAGATCCAGAGTTCGGAAACTCAATGAACGAAATGGAACTGGAAGCGTCAAAGGCATTTGTTCTGGCAGTGAAGAACTTTCTTGGCAACAATAAGGCCAGAAACTACGCAGAACTTGTCAACAACATGCTGACTGCTTTCAGAAACCTGGGCTGCAACATGAGCGTCAAGATGCACTACCTATTTTCACATATGGACCGGTTTCCTGAGAACCTGGGTTCAATGAGTGACGAGCAGGGGGAGAGATTCCATCAGGACATGAAAGAGATGGAGACCAGGTATCAGGGTCGCTGGGACGCAGTCATGATGGCTGACTACTGTTGGACTCTGAACAGAGACCTCCCTGCTGCCGAGCATTCCAGGAGTTCCAAGAAACAGAAGTTCAAGCCCTGAAGTTTGAAAAATGGTTAAGCAACATGCAATTTACGTGTACTTACCTTTATCAATGCTCACCATTCAGTTTACAGTAATCGATGTTTCTATCAGGTAATCAATATATGTTGTTGGAAAAAACATTTTTTTCTCTTAAAAACATATTTAGGATGATATGTGTTGACAAAAATCAGCTGATAATGCCACAAAAATGTAATCGATTTTGTCACAAGATCTGATTTTTTTTCAAATCAATGTAGCACAAAAACCTGACCTGATGGAGAGAAACGGATGCCATTTCCTGATTCAGCAGTGCAAAAATACCCTAAATCAGTTGTAGAAATCTAGACAACATTCAAAAAGTAAAAAATTGTTGCCCAGTGTTATACTTTAGATATTATTGTATCTGTTGAGTGGATTTCTGTTTAACTTTTATATGTTATTATTATGTTATACTATTCTAAGTAACGGTTGAATGTTGCTATTTTGATGTAGGCTGCCTATTTTAAAGTTATGCTTTGTATTGCATTAGATTGTTAGAAGATGTACATTTTCTGTTTCTTCAGCTTGTAAACCGCCTTGAGTATTGTAAGATAGAAAAGCAGTATACAAATTAAAATTGATGATCCTAGAATCCTAGAGTTGGAATAGACCACAAGGGCCATCGAGTCCAACCCCCTGCCAAGCAGGAAACACCATCAGAGCACTCCTGACATATGGTTGTCAAGCCTCTGCTTAAAGACCTCCAAAGAAGGAGACTCCACCACACTCCTTGATGATGTTGATGATGACAAAAGTTTTCTTAAACGCTTTCTTTAATTCAGTATATATCATTTCCCAGAACGCTTTTACCACTCCACAGGACCACCACATATGATAAAAGGTACTGTCAGGGGTTCAGGAGCAGAGGCAAGGGCAAGGGAGGAAACAGAGAGCGAGGGGGAGGAGGCAGAAGAAAAGATGAGTGATGACGACGACCCGAGATCCCCGAGTCTTTCCAGTGAATCAGAAGATTCACAGGAAGGAGCACCAGTGGCCAGGGCAAGGGGGGAGCCTAGGGAGACACCCCAGGAAGAAAGGGCCAGAGGGGGCTCAGAGGGGAGCAGTTGGAAATCGGGACCAGCGTCACCAACAGAGAGCAGGGGAGAGGAAGGGCGCCAGGTATCAAGCGCTGGAAGCTCACAACAGGAGGGAGGGCACGAGTCAGGAGTGGCCACACCTCCATCGGGGAGCGAAGAAACGGTCAGACGGAAAGTGGAAGGTTGGGCGCGCGCGCCAAGTTCAAATGCACAGGAAAGTGGCGCAGTAAGCAGCCCGGAAAGGGAGCCAGGTCCTAAAGCCCGGTGCAAGGAGACAGGAGGGTCCGGGGGGTCAGCGTCAGAAGAATCCCGGAAGGAAGAGACCCCGGGGGGCAGAGGGACCCAGAGAAGAACAGTCAGGCAGAAAAGGTGGAGTAAGGCTAGGGTATTAAGTTGGTGTACAGGGGGCGGAGACTCAGACGGAGCTTCGCCGGTCTAACCCTTAAGACGTAGAGTTGCGCGCAGCAGCTTGAGAATGGAAACTAACTCAATAAAGGACTTTTACAAGTGACCGCTGGCTAGCGTGATCCTCTGTGAGCTAGGATCTGGAAGCAGCTCTGACAGTAAGCTCCGTCACACATTGTGGGCATCTACAGCCTCGCGGACAGAGGAGAAGGAGGGTGCCTACGACTCAGCTCACGAACGGCAGACAATATGACGGCCGAACAGCAGATAGGAGAACTCAGAGAAGCAGTGACACGTCTGAATGCCGAAATACTTGCATCCAGGAAGAGAGAGGAGGACGCAGCTGCCGCCTACAGGGATCTCCAGGTCAGGTTGGAAGTGCTTACGAAGCAAGGGCAACTGACACCCAAACCGGAGGGGATTGGGTTGGGGAGAAGAACAGGCGGTCTAGTCTCTCACTTCGATGGGAATTTACAACTGTACCCCAACTTTAGAGCAGATGTACAGTGTGCACTGCAACTGCTGGACAAAGACTTTAGAGATGAGCAAGAGAAGGTGGGATTTATCATTTCCCATTTGCATGGAGATGCTAAAGCATGGCTGCGCAATTTGTGGAGAGATAAGGATCCAGCGCTCCAAACCGCGGATGCCTTTATTAAAGCGATGGATGGCTGCTTTTTATCTAGCATAGACGTGGATCTTGCCCGGAAGGGGGTGCATGGGCTGAAGCAAGGGAGGGCCAGCATAAGACAGTACCATGCCCGCTTTTTTGCATTAGTCAGTGCCTTGGAATGGGACAGAGATTCAGCTCCAGTCAGAGATCTTTTTTGGGAAGGCTTGAACAGTCCGGTTAAAGACGAAATTGCAAGGGGGGAGAGACCCCGGACCACGCAGGAGGTCATTCAGAGGGCGCTGGCGGTGGGAGTGCGGCTGGAGGAACGTCCATGGAGCAGGGACGAAGGGCGTGGAGGGCGCGAACCAGCGTGAGGGTTCTCCTTCGTTCCCAGGGAAGCTGCGCGTGCGCAATCCACGCCTCCGCCAGGAGGGGGAGCGGAACCGATGGAGGTTGGCGGTGCCAGGGCTCAGTCAGTAACCAGAGCCACAGCACCGGGAGCAGTCAAAGCGAAGCCTCCTAGAGGGAACAGGAAGTGTTACATCTGCGAAAGTCCGCAGCACATGGCAAAAGAGTGTCCCCAGAGGCTCCACAAGCACACTGCAGCCTCAGCAATGGTAACTGCAGCAACTCAGCAAGGGGAACCACAGCAGGGAAACAACGGAGTCTGGCTGGAGAGAGAGGCACTGGGGCCCAGCCAGACGTGTCAGTGAAGCAGTCCCCAGAGATTTTGCAGCCCACAGACCCCCTCCCACCCAAACCAGTGGTGAGGCTCACCGCATCGCTCCAGCTACCCGATGGACTCACCATGGACGTGCCAATCACCATTGACTCAGGAAGCAATGCGGACTTTATAGGGCAGGACTTTGTCGATAAACACGCTATACAGCTGCTGCCTGCCACGCTGCCCCTGCAGGTCGTCACGGTGGATGGCAGGGAGCTGCTAGGGGGGCAGGTGGTGAAGCAAACGCCACCAATGGTGATGCGACTTGGAAATCACAGGGAAATCATCAGTTTTAATGTCACCAGACTGTCGGACACGCCTATTGTCTTGGGCATGAGTTGGCTGGACAGACACAGTCCGACGTTGGCTTGGTACCAGCGGCAGCTAGTCTTTGGCTCATCATACTGCACTGAACACTGCATTCTGCCCCGGCAGGAGGGAGAGGAGGAGGAAGCGCAGCTGCAGCTGGGGACGCTGCAAGCAATCCCCCACAAATACGTGGGATTTTTGGAGGTCTTCTGCGAGAAGGAAGCGGATAAGCTACCCCCCCACAGATCATATGACTGCAAGATTGACCTACTGCCAGGGGCGGCGCTGCCCAAGGGGAAGCTGTATTCCATGTCTGAGGACGAACTACAGGAACTCAAGGAGTTC